TGTTCCAATATGTGTTACCAGCTTTCTGGTAATGCAGAGGCAGTTGCGGTAGAGACAGTGGATAGATTCTGAATTCCAGTACCACTGTACCAGCTTTGTGGGTTATCGAGAGGCAGATGTGATGGTTTCCTGACTCTTACGTTGTTGCTTATGATCGTGATCATGTGTTCTCAGCTTCATGAGCATAACAACCTTGATAGATACTGGGTTCCTCATTTTCTATCACCCACCCAGGTTGATGTCCAACCCCCACCCACCCCACCCCTGTCTTTAGCAAGAATTCTTCTATTAGATCAGTTTAGCCAAAACCACTCTTCTTCTTTTTTTTTTTTAATGTTTATGTATTTTTGAGAGAGAGAGAGAGAGAGAGAGACAGAATGTGAGTGGCAGGGGAGGGGGGAGACAGAATTCGAAGCAGGCTCCAGGCTCCAAGCTGTCAGAGCTGTCAGCACACAGCCCGATGAGGGGCTCGCACCCACAAGCACCGAGATCATGATCTGAGTTGAAGTCGGACGCTTCACTGACTGAGCCACCCAGGCTCCCCAAAACCCCTCTTATCCCAGTGTTTCCTCTTAGTAATTAAATTCCCTCTTGCCCAGGCTATATTTGCAACGAAGTCTGGTTCTCACTGAGGTCTCTTTTCACCTATTGTGATAGCCAGGATTAAAATCTGTTTTTACTGCTTAAATATTGTCTAGCTCTGGTTTTTCACAATATATGCCATGAACAAATGAGGTATACATGTTAATAAACTTGTTTGTTTTTCTCTGTTAATGTATCTTTTAATACAGGGTTCTCAGCCAAGAAGTAGAAGGGTAGAGGGAAAATAATTTTTCTCCCCTATATTCCCTGTTTGTAAAATCAGTTCTAGAACACAGAGATGAGAAACTGCCTCATTTAGAAGGTGAGAGTAAAAATGTTCACAAGTTGGAAGATTTAGTATTGTAAAGATGTCAAGTCTCTCCAAATCAATTGAATCTGTTGAATCAATCAATAGATTCAAAGCAATCCCAATCAGAATCTCAGCCTTTTTTTTTTCTTAACTGAAATTGACCAGCTGATTCTAAAATTTACTTGGAAATGCAAAGGACCAAAAATAGCCAAAGCAACCTTGAAGGAAAATAAAGCTGAAAGGTTTATCCGATCAGACATTTTTTATAAAGTTATAGTGGTTAAAATAATGTTATTGGCATAAGAATGGTCAAATTGGCCAATGGAAAAGAGAGCATCCAGAAATAGAGCCACACATACAAGGTTTCCTAATTTATTACAAAGGCAACATGGTAGTTCAGTGGAAGAATGGTCAGTTGAGTAAATGCCAGGTTAACCAGACATCTATTTGAAAAATTATGTTGACCTTTACTTGATACCATACAAAAATCAGTTCCAGGTGGATGACGGATCTAAATGCAAAAGGTAAAATAAAGCTTTGAGAGAAAATACATTTGTAACCTTAAAGTAGGCAAATATTTCTTTAAAAGTACTAACTACAAAAGAAGGTTTAATTGGATTATAAGAAAGTTAAGAGCTTCTGTTCACTGAAAGGCACAATTAAGAGAGTGCTACAAATATCCTGAGATAAGACATCTGAGGTACATATATCCAACAAAGGACTTGTATCAGGTATATGTAAAGAACTCCTTTAAATCAGTAAAAGAGATAACCCAATTGAAAAATATGCAAAAAACTTGAATTGGCTTTTCAAAAGTAGATAAACAATGGGTGGGGTCATAAACATATAAAAAAGATTCTCAACTTCCTTATCAGGAAAATGCAAATTAACAGCACAGACCCTGCCTGGGATTCTCCTCCTCCAACTCTCTGCCCCTCCCCAGCTCTTAGGTACAGGTGCATAAGTGTACATATGCACTCTGTCTCTCTTTCTCAGAATAAATAAATACACTTAAAAAAAAAAAACAGACTGATATTAGCAAGTGTTGGTGAGGATGTAGAGCAACTAGACCTCTTATAGACTGCTGGTAGGAGTATAAACTGGTATAACTGGGTTGGAATATTTGGCAGTACCTACAAAAGGTAAACATATACATTTCCTATGACTCAGTAATTTCATTTCTAAATATATATACAACAGAAATATGTTCAACAAGGGGTGCCTGGGTGGTTCAGTTGGTTGAGCATCCAACTCTTGATCTTGGCTCAGGTCATGATCTCATGGTTCCTGAGTTCGAGACTTGCAATGGGCTGACAGTGTGGAGCCTGCTTGGAATTCTGTCCCTTTCTCTCTGCCCCAACTTAAAATAAGAATAGTAATAATAATAAAGAAATACGTTCAACAAAACATACATACTAAGCAGCACTATTCATAATAGTCCCGAATTGGATGCTACTCAAAGACCATGAACAGTAAGATGGATTAAAAAGCTGTCATACATTCACATGGAATACTATGGAGAAATAACAAATGCTCGCATGACAATATGGATGAATCTAACAAAACCAGAAAGAAAAAAAGTTAGCCAAAAAAGAGATATACAAATAGAATTGCACAGTGTATAAACTATAAAAATAGACAAAATTAAGTTCGTTATTCCAAGTCTGAATAATGGTTATATCTGAAGTGGGCAGAACTGACAAAAGAAATAAGAGGTAGCTTCTGGTGTGATGGTGATGTTCAGTTTCTTGATCTGGCTGCTGCTGCTTACATTGGTGTATTCAACATGTTAAAATTCATCAATCTGCACACACTTATGATTTGTACACTTTCCTCATTACTATTATGCTACAGAAAAGATTAATGTACATGACAAAAGGCAAGTCAATTAAACAGCAAACTGGAAGAAATTTTCTACAATTTCTTACAAGGTCTAAGTAACATATGAAGAACTCATGCAAATCAATTTTTAAGAAGCTAGCATCCAATAGGAAAATGGACAAAAAAATACAAAAAGAAACAGGCAAGTAAAGAAATAAAAATGGTCCCAATAAATGCATTGAATATACACTAGAACAATGGAATGCTATTTTTCCTATCAAATTATCAAAGATTAAAAGAAACTAAGAAGGCTGTTGCTGAGGATTTGGTGAAATCAATGCTCTTATTCCTAATGGAAACATAAATTAGTATAACCTTTCTATATAAGTCTTAAAAAATTGTCATATCCTTTGACCCATTAGTTTCACCTCTAGAAATTATTCTAAGGAAAAATCAGAGTTGCAGTTAAAGATGGAATCATATCAGTGTTGATACAATGGTTATTTTGAAACAATATAATTATCCAATAATGGGAAAATGGTTATATTATGATAAACATGCATGCAGGGATATTATGTTATTAACAATATTTTCAAAGAGTAATGAATAGTTAGACTCATGATAAATTTAAGTGAAAAATACATTCAGAATTCTACGTATGATACATTTTGCTTTAAAAAATATCACACATTAAACATACATTTGCATAAAAAAAGTCTGTAAGAACACAATACTATAACGTTAATAGGGGCCATCTTTGGCTGGTAGATTAACAGATAATTTTAATTTTGTGGCTTATTTTCTATACTGAAATGTTCTTTGGGCATTCATTACTATTATATTCAGAAATCTAAGAAAATAGGGTAAAAAAAAATAACATCCGCCCAGTTTTCTTTACCCTAGAAATCTGAGTAACCTACATTTTTGTCTCTCCTTCAGCTCCCACATTCAATCTGTAACTGCTTCCTTGATTTTACCTTAGAATTATCTGTCCAAGCCATTATTCCATCATTTTTTCTCTCATTTCCAAAATTCAAACACTTGTCTTCCCTAATGAGCTCCTCCAAATGACTCCTCATTTTGATAAAATGGCCCTATCTTTCACTACTGCTACATTCTAGCCACATGAAGCCACTTTATATAGCAACCCTCCCACTCATGCCCCTAAAAAAATCCACACCAGGTACTTTCACACCTCCTAACCTTGGCATATTCAGTTCTTTCCCGGTAATGCATTTTCTCCTTTCGATCTGTCTAATCCGATTCATAGCTCAAGATTTATCTCCGGTATCATTTACTGGGTGTAGCTTCTCTGAGGCCACAAGAATAGACTCCTGTTTCCAAATCAATCCTCCAACGGCAGTTTATACATATTTCAACATTTATCATTCTGCACTTAGTGCCTCGCTTTCTCACTGTATGGAATAGGCCATTTCTTTTTAAAAATTTCTTACAATCTATTTGGATGAGTGAACATAAAGCATACATATTTGCAATGTATCTATAACAGGTGTGAATTTTCTCCTGCATCTGATAGATAAGTGGCAACAAAATACTCGCCATAGTGTGTGAGTGTGTGTGTGTGTGTATGTGTGTGTGTGTGCGCGCGCGCGCGCGTGTGTGTTTCATTCAAGATGGCAGAGAACGTCTTAAAATAGTCCCACACAAAAGCACTCACACCCAGAGCCTCGAGTCAGAAGAACGGGCTACACCTAGCGCAACAGCAAAGGACAAAAGAATTAGACCTAGATGTTGATATGCCTCGGTCCTAAATACTCGCAGTAGGTCCCACACATAGATTTTAAAACGTGTTAGAAAACGGGCACCTGCTGCCTTCATTACGAGGGCCACGCCTCGACCGTGAAGGATGACCTGAGGCACTTCTGGATACTGACCCAAAAGATCGAGGACGAAAAAGGGGGAGGCTAAGTTGTATTCAGGAGTATCCAAAAGGCACGATAGGACCCCGCCCCGCTCGGGCAGAGTACGCCCGCGAGCATATCCATCCCCGGGGAAGGAACAAGCAGGGGGCGCCTGTCCACCGGCCTAGCAACGGAGCCCCAGCTGGGAATTCTGGGCGGGCCTGAGGCCGAGGCTGCCGCGGCAAGGGTGCCTGGAGCTACACCTGTCAGGCTGCCACCAACACTAGGCCCAGAAATCGCCGAGATTCGAGGACCTAGGCGGGCAGGAGCGTCACCCAATCCGTTGTCCCGGGATCGGCCCTTCGCCTTCCCCCCTGTCCGTCTCAAACAAAGGCAATCCACATCCACCGCCATTTTCCCCTTACCTCAAAAACCACCTCTTCGTCAAAGTCCGGTGTCATCCTTCTCCGCCATGCCACCCGCCTCAGCACGATGGGAAATGAAGGCGGGAGAACAGGCGGCACCACGGCGTCTGCTACGGACTGTCCCGTCTGTCCAGAAAACTACAATTCCCAGAATGCGTCGCAGCGCACGCCCCCTCTCAGGGCCACTTATTGGAGCAAAGGATGAGCGTGTGGGTGGGAGGGGCAGGAGCGGGAGGAAGCCCGAGCCCACTGATTGGAGGAGGTTGGAGCTATTGTCCGCCTTTTACGGCTGCGACGAGCAGGGGGCGCCTGAAGTACAGATTTTTTTTTTTTTTTTTTTTTTTTTTTTTCTGGAGCTGGAGTGGGGCGCGCGCCGGCGAAGCCCCGGTGAGCCCTGCTCGTGCCCGTGCCTGGCCGTCCTCCCCGAGCTCTGCTGGGAGGCGCTCGTGCTCGCCTGCCCGCCGCCTGCGGCTCGCGCCCGGGAGCGCCGCTGAGTCCCTGGAGCCGGTCGCGTCCTTTGTGCGGCGCTCTGCTTGCGCCGCGGGACCTTCGGACGGAATGCGGCCCCTGGCAGAAGCTTTTCTCTTCTTGAAGAGAACTCTTGAAACAATGGACTGTAAGAGGAGCATGGATTGAGGGGGGCTAACGGGGAAGCGAGCTGCACAGGGAATCATGACTTCTGCCGCGGGTAAGTGACGGCGCTCGCGCTGCCGCTGGAAAGTTTCTAGCGAGCGCTGCTAGTCTTGGGCTCTGGAGCAACTTTCTCCTCACGGGTGGATTAACGGTGTTCCCCTTGCCTTTCCCGAGGGCTGTGGCAAATACGGAGCAGACGGCGTGTGCTGCCGAATATTTTCGACCCTTCCTAACCAGAGGGGCTGGTTAGAAATCGTGTCTCTCTTGGGATCCCCCTTGAAACGGAGACCCGCATTGGGAGCTCTGCGCCAGGTGAATCACTAAATGTGAAGAGGGAAACATCTGCTCGTGTGTCCCAAAGTTTGGGCGACTTTGGCTTTGCGTGTGAAAATAGTTTAGATTCCCATGTTAAGAAATCAGTTATTCTAGGAAAGGGCAGTGTTCCCGGAGTGTTGAACTCAGCCACCGCTCTGAGTCCCTTTGAACCCAGTACCAACTGGAAACCCTGACCCTTATTAGATGCGGAGGTTTAGACATTGTGACTCCTCTCCTGGTGGTTTTTCCTGTTACCTGAGAAGCAGAGGAGTAGAATTGTCGATAGCAATGTTTTCCTCACCTCACCCAGTTTTTATGTTTTTTTTTCTGTTTCTACCTGTTCGTCGAAGCCTTATTTTCTGTCTGCCTCCCATAGTCCTTTCTCTTCATCCAGATGACAAAGCCTGTAATTTACCTTTGTGTGAATTTTGAGCATTTCTTGGCGTTGTGTTTCTAAACAGTCTTAAGGGACAGTTCTTATTTTCCAACATGATTAGTAAAGTAATTGCTAATTACTGTTAAAAGCGCTTTAAGAAAAAGGCACTTTATAAGACTATAGGTTAATTTTTAAACCAGAACTTAATAATGCATTAAGTATTGCGGATTTTTCTTTATGCTTTTGCCCATGTTTAAAGAAATACGCTTCATTAAGAATTTTGTAGTACAATAGTGTTAGGCTTCCCCTCAAAGCTGCTTCTAAAATCAGCACTTAAGTATGATCAATTTTTCTTTGCTTTTCATGGCATTTGTTTTAAATTTCTGCAACTTGAAGCTGTCAAACAGCACTCTCAATGTTCTGATTTGTATTATTTTTAAATCATAGATATATTGGAGTGTTGCATTGCTAGGTGTAATCAGATTACAGCTAACCAGGTAAAAAGTTAGCCAATAGGATAAGAAAGCAAGGAGTGAAGTATTCCTGAACATATTGCAGATCTTTCCTATTTAATGTTACATGTATGTATAAGAGATACGTTATCATACACTAAAAGGTTTATAAACTCTTTTCGTTACCAAGGGGAGACTTTCTACGTACTTGAGGTGAACTATTTTCATCTTAAATTTCTGTACCTCACCTTTTAATTTTTATTACTGACCCAGTCCACTTAAATTTAAAATGTTTAGAAATTTAAAAGTCTTGCCAGCCATTTTAGCTCTCACCTCCTTTGGAGTTTCAAACACATTTAAAATATTCATACCTTAAATGTATTGTTTTCAATTCTAGTCCTAACAGTTTATAATGAACAGGTCCAGAAACATTTAAGTATGTGAATCTGGTTCAGGGCTCAGTCTGGAAGTTTGATTCTTTCATTTGAATTACCCTAGAATAATGCAAGCTACTTTTATATTTTATCAACTTTACAATTAATCCACAGACATTTTTGTGGTGTTTAAAAGAACACTTCCTGTGTTTAGCTGAGTTACTTGGTTTTTACCATGGCTTGCTGAGAACATTAACTATCTTTTTGTCTGTTAAGATTTTTTATTCTTTATCACGTCTAAATGGAGAATATGGAAGAGAACTGGGGTTTTGTTTCCATTCTTATAAAATTATGTGTTTATCATTTTGGTAAGCTCTTTATGATGCTTTTTGGTACAATAATCAAATTAATTAAAACATTAAGAGTGTTATTTGCAGTTGGGGGAGGGCGTGTTTGTTTACATTAAATCTAATCTGATGTATTTGGGATGGTTTGGCTTCATTTTTTAAAAATAAGATAAATGTAGAACATCTAAGTTATATGTATCCTGAAGAAGAGCTTTCTTCGTTTTTCTGCATCTGTGAAAGAGTAGGCCCGTAATAGAGACTTTAGAATTATTCTAGTCAGTATATGAAAAGGGAGAGATAATTATCAGTGTATATTTTGTATCTTTTAAAACATATACAGCCTCATTAATGTGCTTTGCCTTTGGGCTGGCCAATAGCTAAGAAGGTGTGCACATGTGAACTACAGCCATCTGTGTCTAACAGATGACGCGTATGTTTGTAATAGTAAAATGGTACTAGTGCTTTACTTTCTTACCTTATTTTTCCCTGAAGCCAAACAGCTGTGTAAATAAAAGAGTTGCTGCTTTGCTCTACACTTTTGGGTCTAAATGTTGTTACAGTATTAAGATCCAAAGGTGCTGGGTTCATTTCCAAACATCATGCACTTATTTCAAGAGTGACATAGGAGCAGGCCATAATGACTTGTTATTTTTTGATTTCTTGGCGTTGTGTTTCTTGTTTTTGAGTGTGTTCTTGTGTTTTTGAGTTGTGTTTCTTTTGAGATAGAGCCACTAAAAAATAATAATAATAATATAAATTAAATAAATGTAGTTTAATAAATTAAATAATTTAATTTAAAAAATTAATAAATTAAAAGGATTTTGGATATTGCCATACCAGTGACTTAAATATTTGCTCTTACTAATGATTAATAACTCATTTAATAATCCTACTGAAGTTGATTCCTGATAACTTTTCAGAATATTATTCTACATTTAAATGGATATTGATTTTTTTTTTTAAATTTTTTTTTCAACGTTTTTATTTATTTTTGGGACAGAGAGAGACAGAGGATGAACGGGGGAGGGGCAGAGAGAGAGGGAGACACAGAATCGGAAACAGGCTCCAGGCTCCGAGCCATCAGCCCAGAGCCCGACGCGGGGCTCGAACTCATGGACCGTGAGATTGTGACCTGGCTGAAGTCGGACGCTTAACCGACTGCGCCACCCAGGCGCCCCATTGATTTTTTTTTTTTTAAAGAAATTGTCTGTTACTGAGACCTATTGAAGGGTATGTATGTGGCAGCTTTGACTATTCCCAGGCTCTGTTTTCAGGACTGGGGATAGAGCATTATGTCAAAATGCCTCCTCTCTTGGAGCTTGCCTTCTAATGGTGAAGACTGACAAAGCCCTACTGAAGAAATATCATATAAAGATAAGGGACTAGAGAATATAAGGATTCTCCTGAAGCAAGGATCACAGAAGTTATAATCTCAGAATCATATAGGCTTTAGAAATCTGTTCAAATCTGATTTACAAGTAAGGAAACTGAGGCAACCAGATCTTCACAAAGGCACAGAATTAGGTTAGCCAGCTGAGTTATGTTAATCTGCTTCCTCCAATACATAGTTAACAGTGGTAAGCTAATGTTCACAGTCATCTATTTAATTCAGTGAGTGAGCATTGAAAGTGTTAGGTACATATGCTATGCTGTGTTTGTCGGGAATCAACCACCACTCATACGTATTTGCTTGAATTTCTACAAAACTAACGGAGAACAGGTATTTATGGCCCTTGGATGCTGATATGTGTATAATATGCTGATATGCTGATAATGTGTATAAAGCACATTTAAAGAAAATAGTGCAATTGTTACCAAAGAGTAAAAAACAATTTAACTAAAAAGCAAAAATTGATTGGTTAGATGGCCCTGAAGCTTTTGACAGGCTATAAGATTAAGAAAGTAAAAGATTAGTTTGATGAGACTGGATTTTTGTTTTTTGGGTTTGTTTGGTTTTTTTAGTTGTGGTAAAATACACATAAATTTTCCATCTTTACCATTTCTAAGTGTATAGTTCAGTAGTGTTAAATACCTTCATGTTGCTGTGCAGCCAATCTCCAGAACTCTTTCTATCTTGCAAAACTTTTTTTTTTAATTCCTTCAAAAATCCCAAAGATAAGATGTTTTAAGAATGGTTACAAAAATGAAATCAACATGACAGTTTGTCAGTTTTCATTATCTTGGGTAAGGTGGGAGGTTGGGAAGAGGCCTAGGGCAATCGTACTTTCCCTTAAGACTTAATAGGTCAAGAGTTTAATTTAATAGACTATTATAACAAGGTTTATCATTAGGTTTTGAATGGTTGTACAATTTTTTCTACTTAAAAGTAATAGCATGTGTATTAAATAGCTAAGTGAAATTGTGTAGCTTTGGGAATTTGTATTAAATTATTTTGGAAGTATTTTTTTATTATCTTCTTTATTATGACATTATACCAGGAATTGAATGAGAGGGCATATGTCATTGTGTGACCTTGGTTTGGGAAAATGATTGGTAAAAGGAAGTAGAGCACCCTATTCTCTCCCTCTCTCTCTACCCACCCCCACACTTTCATGTCATAGCTTCCCAAGTGTCGTGACTAATTTCCTTTGTTGAAAAGAAAATCATCACTAAATGAAGTATCAAAGCCTGTGTGTATTCAAGTACTTAATGTCCAACAGCTATTTGGAAAGATTTATGGTTTTTGTTTAGTAAATTAAGTTTTTGTTAGACATTAGATCCTGTTGGAGGAACAAACATGCAGTGTAAGAAGTATAAGATAAAATATTTTTACTTTAGGTCTCCTTGGGGAAATGTGACTAGGTGATAAGAGATAGTTTAGGTGGAAAAACCTAAAGAACTTTAAAAAAAATACAGATATTCGGGCTCTGTATATCTTTATTTTATAGGTCTTTTGAGTGAGGCTTTTATTAGGTACCTTTAGGATAGGACTAGGTCTGTATAAACCTAGCATTGTATAATAGGTGTTTATTAAGTACTTTTTATATAATGTCAAGGGAGGATTGCTACAATTGAAATTGTGGTCATCTTTTGTGTGTGTGTGTGGTTATCTTTTAAATGTACTACAGTAGTCATTATTAATTAAGGGTACACAGTATATTCACATGTGGAACTTAAAAGAATACACGTGTCCAGGCTGTATTCCTAGAATCTCTGATTGATTAGATGTGGTGTAGAACCTATACACATGACTTTTTAAAAAATAAAGCTCTGGGAAGGATTATAATGAAAATTCCCAATGACAATTTCTGTACAGAGAAATACAACTTTAAAATGAATCCAATAATACAGAAGAATTACTTTTGTTTTTAAGTTCGGAAAATTTTTTATTTCTGTATTCCTTTTTAAGATAGTTTTGGGGTTCTAGTGGGGTAGAATCTTGAGAAAAAGCATTTATATAACTCTATGGTATATCATTGAAGTTGAAGAATACTACTGCTTACTGAGAGGCAAACTTAAAGAGTTCTATCTACATATAACTTAGGCAAATTCACTCACTTAGCACTCAGCAAATGAAGTACTTTTCTTCTATAAGGGTCCCAAAAGCAGAAGCCAATGATCTCATTTAGTGTCTACTGAAGATAATGGTAATCTGTTCTAGAGTTAGAAGAAAAACTGTTTTGGACTTGATAAGAAATGTACACTCTACCCAAAGCTTTGTATACTGGAATTGAAGGACAATTTAAGGAATTTTCGAGAGTAACGTTGACTCTTTAACATAATCTGCCTAGTAAAATGTAAGTTCACCATTTTGTCAAAAAAAGTAAAAATGTTATCAAATTTAATCATTTATCATCTTTTGGGTTTTGTTTTTTGTTTTTGTCATCAAATTATTATTTTTTCCTTTCTAGAGATTAAGAAGCCACCAGTGGCCCCCAAGCCAAAGCTTGTGGTAGCAAATAATAAGCCTGCTCCACCTCCTGTTGCGCCTAAACCTGATATTGTGATTTCTAGTGTTCCACAGTCAACAAAGAAAACCAAACCAGCAATAGCCCCGAAACCAAAGGTTCTGAAAGGCTCACCTGTTAGAGACATCGGGCAGTCACCATCAAGGAAAATCATTGTGAACCTGCAAGAGCATAAACAGGAATTACCTAAAAATGCTGACAACTCTAATTGTAAAAATGTAGGGCATCAGAGCAGCGATTATATTTTACCAATGTGCTCCTGTAATTCTCAGTGTATCCATAAACTTGGGAATAGAGAACATGTGTGTGTAAAGCAGCTTATCTTAGAGCCCCTGGAAATGCATGAAAATTTAGAAAATAGTAAAATTGATGAGTCCTCTTCAGCTATAAAAACAAGGAGTAAATGTGATTCTAACTTTGAAAAAGTCAAGAGCCAGAATGCAGTAGTTTTAAAGGCAAACATCCTAGAAGAGAAGCTTAAAGATGTTTTAACACAACGAGCATCACCTTTTATTTCCCTACAGAAGCACAGCTCCACAGACAGCCCAGAAATGACTGATGGCTGTAATTCCAACAGACAATTCAGAATTGAGTTTGCAGACCTGTCACCTTCCCGGTCCAGCCTTGAAAAAGTTCCTGATCATCACCACTGCCACTTACAGATTCCTAGTGATGAAACTTATCAGCATAGCAGTGAAAAAAGCAACAGTTGCTTTCATTCATCTGAACGAGAAACTCTGGAAAATGATAAAAGAAGTACTTTTCCATCTTCAGATGGAGTTAGTAAGAAATCAGAAGTCAAAGATCTTGGTCCCTTAGAAATTCACTTAGTACCATATACCCCCAAATTTCCAACTCCCAAGCCCAGAAAGACACGGGCTGCTCGTCTGTTACGCCAAAAGTATATAGATGTTCCTAGTGAAAGTACTGAAGAACCAGAGAATTTAGACAGTAACCCTTCTTGTCCTTTAGAAGCTGGTTTGAAAAACAGTAAGATTGGTGTTCTTCATCAGAATGTTTTGTGTAACCAGGAACAGGTGGACAAAGTGAAGCCAGGAAATAAAAGTGAATTGAATGCGTACTGCAACAGTGACAGACAAAATTTACTCAATCCACAGAAAGTTATGTGTCATGAAACATCTTCCTTTGACAAAATAGAAACAGATTGTAATTTGAGTTCTGACACCAAGACAATAGATGGTTCCAGTATGTCACTTGCTATGGACAAAGGGACCAGTTTTATAAGATGCAGTACTTTATCTATGAGCCTGCCTAAGCAACTCAAATTAACTTGCAATGAACATTTGCCTACTGCCTGTAACCTGGAAGCGTCTGCCCCTCAAATGCAAAAAGAATCTATAATAAAAGGTGAAAGTTCCTCAAGAATTGTCCCCAAAAAACCTCAGAGACACAGCTTGCCTGCTGCAGGAGTACTTAAAAAAGCTGCCTCAGAGGAGCTGGTGGAGAAAATTTCTTATCCCTCAAATGAAGAAAACAATTCAGAGAAGGGTCTAGAAAGAAATCACCTTCGACATTTGTGTGCCCAAAACCATGGTATGTTGTCCTCCTTTGATATGACTAAACAGACTTCAGAAAAGCCAGTGTGGAAATTACCTCATCCTATTTTACCCTTTTCGGGGAACCCAGAATCCTTAAAATCTGTCACCATATCATCAAATAGTGAGCCTTCAACTGCCACGACTAAGCCTAGAGCGAAATCATTATCTGCTATGGATGTGGAGAGGTGCACTAAGCCTTGCAAAGACTCTCAAAAGAAGAACTCTTTAAAGAAGTTGCTGAACATGAAACTGTCCATCTGTTTCATGAAGAGTGACTTCCAGAAATTTTGGTTCAAGAATAGCCAAGTTGGAGATACAACCACAGGCAGCCTCTCAGGTGGGGAGCGGAAAGGGATTGAAAGTGATTGGCATGGCACGTTGGTAGAAGAAAAGAAAAGTAAGCCCATCAAAGCATACTCTGCAGATAATTACAGCCTAGAATCCCAGAAGAAGAGGAAAAAGTCTCGGGGCCAGACCAGTGCAGCTAATGGACCAAGATCTGAGTCTTTGGATGACCAAATGCTCTCCAGGGAGTCATCATCTCAGACACCTTGCAAATCTATTACAAGTGGCTATGCACCAGAGTATGAAAATATACGCCATTATGAGGAAATACCAGAGTATGAGAACTTGCCATTTATTATGGCTGTAGGGAAAACTCCCGAGTTAGAATGGCAAAATTCCAGAAGCATGGAGGACACCGATGCAAATGTGTATGAGGTAGAAGAGCCATATGAAGCTTCAGATGGCCAGCTGCAACTTGAATCCAGACATCAGCATTCCAGGTAACACTTAGGTGCCAGACAGGCACTGCGCTTTAACTGAAATTAACCTGCACCAACCCTGTGAGATGGGGAAAATCACTTGGTGAGAGAGTGGCTTAGTTAAGCATATATTAAATTATTCCAAACTACAGTATTCTTTTATCATATAGCCAGAATGGATGTTTTCACTGCAAGCTTGAAGTAGTTGAGTTATTTTAGTAGCTGATTCAAAGAATTTGACCCAGTGGTAGTGTAGATAGTACAAGAGAGACCTAGAAGAGCAAGTTTGCAGGGCCTCCAAAGCACCAACTTAGAAGTCATAGCAGGAAACTAGGAGAGGAAATTGGCCAGTTCAGTGAGGTTTATTTGTTAGGTGTAGGAATCTGTAAAGTTTGAAATCCATGTGTTTGCCTATGGTGCCCTTGTCAGTTAAAACCTCTAAATTTGCAAAATTCCCTCTCTGATATTAGTTATTTTGCTTGTTGAGGACTAATTGCTGACTTCATATGGACATAGGAAAAATGCAGGAAGTGGAAAGGTACTATCCTTTCTTTCTCTGTTTTGTATGTGTACATGCTACCTCTGATATACCTACCTACTCCATCCATCTTATTAAAACCTTGACCATCTTTAATGGTCCAGCTCAGCAACCACTGGCTTCATGAAGCTTTTACAGACCTGGTAGCAAGTGTTTATTTCCTATTCTGATCCCCCTTTTATGCTGTGGTATCCTTACAGCCTTTCTCTGTGTGTTTTATGGTGTAATTATTTATTGGTATGTCTGATGTTCTGTTTTTAGTTTTAAGCTCCAAGAAGAGTTTGAGTCATACCTTTTTATCCTTCATGAGGTCAACCAAGGGGCTGAGGAGGAATGAGTAGGTGTTGGTTGGATGATAAAATGAATAAAAAAGAGGCAAAAAATAAAAAAAAAAAAACCCAACCCACAACACTACCACTGCAGCTGCTTTTTTCTCTCTGTAGTCACAAAGAGGGGCTTTTGCATTGCATTTAAAGTGTTTTGTGTTTAACAAAAAGCACATAGACCCTTTTTGAAGTCTTCATGTTCTTATATTTAAACCTCAAGCCTTTGAATACTCAGATCTACAGTGGGACTTTTGTAGAAATGTTAACATATATGGCACGTAGTAGGGGCTTAAAGGATTATCAGGAGAATTGAATAAATAAAAATGTCAAGCAAAATCTTAGTGTACCAAGTAAAATTGTTCTAATTTTTTTTTAGCTTACAGATGCTCTCCTAACATTTTTCTTTACTGATAAACCCTGTCCTTCCTCCTTCGACCCATGAAAGACTTAGCCTCCCTTGCCTAACTTTTCTCATAGCTGACTACATTCTGTTTACAACTGTCTACTCTGAACGTTAGTACCTAGGCAAAAGCCTTTTTCTTGGCATAAATATTTTGACAGAGAATTGAAATTAAGTATCCCAACTTAAAAAAAAAAAGTATTCTCATGCTTGCTCTTCTGTCCATGGAACAGTTTTGTTGGTATTGCCCTCCTTTTAATATTCTTTTGTATAATGAATAGTGTGTCTGTGAGAAAGGGAAATTAATTTGGCTTCTTTATGGTATACTACTGTCCTTACCTAAGATGAAGTTTTTTTTCTTGAAACTGGAGGTTTCGCCATCCCATTGGCCCTCAGGCTTAAATCTCAAGGATCTGTCATTATTGCTAACACCAGCTGTAAACTTCTGGAACTCAGCCTTTTTCTGCTGTTTCATACGCAGGGCGCTTTGCTCCGGTGGTGGTGGGAAACGTGGTTGGAAGGGGTTAATGTACACAGCCAGCCTGTGCAGCTGGATGGCATTCTTAAGGAGGGTTCTTTCTCAAGGCCACAGGAAACTGAGGGCGGCTTTGGACAGGTTACAGGCTGTCAAGTAGGGCAGTCTGGTGAAGAGTGAGTGAGCTCTGCTTTTGAATTAGCTTTCCACAGAGATTTTTGTTTAGGCCTGGAGCAGGGAGCCAGGCTTGAGACTCTTGAAATGTGCCAGCTGAATCAAAAGCCTTCAGTCATAGGGTCAGACTAACAGCTTTTCCTGGGAGGTTGTACCTTTTGTAAACAACATTGAATAGACAGAGAAGGCAAAATCCAAGCCCTCATGAGGAGGATACCTGGACACCCTAAAATAAGGTAAATGAGAAGTGGGACATACATTTCAGGTGAGTTGAGTGGATCCAAATGGAAATCCTGTTTGGTAATCTAGCTGTTGAAAATATATAGACCTCTGCCTTGCAGTAATTAAAGTCCAACCCAGTAAAGTTCTAAAATGATTAGAAAAAACACATTATTAACCCTATGTAAGATCGTTCTGCTGGAAAGAGTAGACAAGTGTCTTTAACAGTTTCTCGATCCTCAGGGAAGAGATTCTGGCTCTTTCAGAGGAGATTGGCTCACAGAGACTTACTAATTTTACAGAGTCCACATATATAATCAACCAGATTCTGGATTAGTAAACAGACACTGCCAAGCTATGGTCACCTTCTTTAGAAGATAGATGTTTCATGAATCCAACAGCTTAATATTTACTAATTCATAACATGTTTGTCATTTATCAGGAAATTATTGTATACAGTTCCCAGTTACAAACACGATTGTATTCTAAAAGTTAATTGTAATTTGGAACTTAGAGTGTATTGTCCAGAGAAACAATTTTGGAAACATTGGTAAAGGACTCAGTTTAGCACCCAAATTATATTAACCATTACTGTACTGGCTTCCACTTCCCTTGTCCTGGGTGAATTCTTCCTCTCAGCTTCTTTTTGTGCTGAGGCAGGAGCATTGGCCAGGGTGGAGTTGAGTACCCCCATGTCAGAGAAGCAAATCCACTGAGTCTGAGAGGCAGTGTTTATGGAAAGGGTGAGGTGACTAAAGAATGAGGAAATTGGGGGCTGGGTTTGCTTTGAGAAAGACTGTAAGGCATTGGGAGTGATAAGGAGAAGGGAAGGGCTGGGTGATTGGGATTTAGAGTGCAGTGGATTTTCTTTCCCTCCTTTCTCCTCACTATTCCTATCCCTCCTCTCTTTCCCTCCCCATTCTCCACTGCAGGATTCTGCTAATTGGGTTTCTGACCTCAGGCAAGAGTGAGTAGAGGAAACTGGAGGAGGGGAGTTGGCTGCTGTGAGGAGTGGTGCTGGGAAGCCCTGCAGCCAAGAAGGGTGAATAGCCAAATATGAAGGTAAAGGAGGGTGAAGGGAATACCCCTGGCCGTAGAAACTGTAGCTTTTGGTGTTCCCAGATGGGTCACCGTTTGCTTACTGCCCTGGGTTCTCAAAAGCAGTTTTGTTGGGAGCCAGATTGTGAGAAACTCTGGAGTATTCTGGTGCCTTTTGGGTATAGTTAGGAGCTCTCTTGCCTGAAATGTTTCAAACACGATTACCCTCAAATACATAGCAGGCAGCAGGCCTTTCTGTCTCACTGGCATTCAGGTTAATGAGTGCTTCTTTATTAATATTATTTAAGAAGTTTGATTTTCATAGGGAAGTTTGTAAATTTGGGCTGTTAATATTAAAGAGTTATAGACAAATTAGCAAAATAATAGTTTGCCAATATGGGAATTTTCCTTTTGAAATTGTAGTGGATTTCTTAACTCTCTAACCAAGAAAAACTTTCCCTGGAACCTTTCTACCTTTTTCCTCTGTTGTTTAATTCTTATTATAAGCACTTCAAAGAAAATGAATGATTATTGAGTTTTCCTGGGTAACCTAGCAAGCCCTCAGTTTATATATTCCACAATATTGACCCATGTGTAAATCACTGTGCCTTCAAAAGTGAAAGGAGAGTGCCTACTCCCCAGAGTTTCTGTCCAGTGAGGCAGCAGACAATTACAGGGCAGCATGGTTTTGTGATTCCAAACTTTGTCTGAGTTATACCCCAAGAAGGGTGTTAAAGATGACTTCACAGGGCACCTGGCTGGCTCAGTCAGGGAGGAGCATGCAATTCTTGATCTCAGGTTTGTGAGTTTGAGTCCCAGGTTGGGTGTAGAGATTACTTAAAAAAATAAATTAAGATAAAGATGACTTCACAAAGGTGGTAAGACTAGACCCAAGGCTTATAAAAATGGACAAGATTGAATTTGGCATTTAGGAGGTCATTTTTTAACCTTGATAAGAACAGTGTCAGTGTTGCTCTAGAGGAAGAAGCCAGATTGCAGACTGAGGAGGATTTCAAAGAGAGGAAATGGAATCAGCCAATGTAGATGGCTGTTCTTGAAACTTTGCCCAGAAGTCCCCATCACTTGACAGGTTTGGATTTATCTTTTGGTTTTCCTCAAGCACCAAGATTCAAAATAAAATAAACTTCAAAATAATTTCTTCTTAATCAGTAGACCCTCATTTCTGATGAAGGAAAGTATTAAGTTTTTTGTTTGTTTTCTCCCCATTTTAAGCACAAAACTGGGCTTAATGAGCTGGCCAAATGACAAATCGTCTAAAATCCTGTTATGGCTTCTGTGTTGTAAATCATCAGACCTAGTCTCTCTTGGGTTGCATTTACCATCTGGTGGTAGTGTTGGATTTTAATGTAATGATTAAAGTATAAATTAATAGCCCTAATAAGCATTTCCACCTTATTGTAGCACTGATAAGATTATGCACTGTTAGAGGGTAAGGGTTAGGACTCCTGTATCTCAACAGAAGCCTTTTACTGGGAGTTATTTACAGCATCATCAGCTCAGGAAATATCAAACATTTGTATGGCTCTTTAACTTTGGCTTTCTTGTGTTGGAATCATAACCTCACAATTTTGGCAAATCTGTTTGTTTACATACTTGCCCTGCATTTGAAACTGCAGCTAGAAGCATTGGATTTTATTTCTTGGCAATAAAGTTTTTCTTTTTTCCTTTCAAATTAATTATTAGCAGTTAGTGAAATTGCAGTATTTTTTCCAGCGCTGTCACTTTGGTCTCATTTTTTGCCAAAATAGATAAGTGATATTTTATCAAACATTATGCTTTTCTGTGGTGGAATGTCACTTTATACTTTTGGATGCATATTTTTAGTCAAGA